ATGCTTGGAGACATTGTCCCCCCTACGAGATCATTCTCTTGCTCGCTCTCGCTGTCTGTTGTCCTACGGAGCTTCTGAGATCAGGGGGGGGGGGAGGAGGACTGCACAGGAAAGGAGAGGCTCTTGTCTCACCCGCAGATGAAGAACTGGCGATACATCCCCCCTCCAACCCCCAAGGGCCTCAGGAATGTCACTCATATCCGGCCGGGTACCGTTCACGGAACCCTCCCCCTCTCACCTCTTCAGCCCGTCTCGAAATAGCAAGAACCTCATCGCCCAGTCAGACGCATTCCAAGTGATGGAGCAGTTTTTTTGTGCATGTGTACGTGCCGCGTTCATGCAATGGAATGATCTCCTCCAAAATAAAAAGACTTTTCATAGTGTATCTCCCTCTACAAATACAAGGCTCCCTCCCCGCCAGTCCTTCTCCCAACAAGCCCCATCAATAACATTATTCCCGATGCCAAAAGGGGGGGGGAAAAAGAAGAAAAAAAAAGAGAACGCTTCAACATCTTTGCCCCCTTGGCTTCCCAACTCTCCCATTGCCTTTTTCCTCCTCCCCCCCCCCCCCCCCCCCCCCCCCCCAAACACAAACACAAGAGTTCTGCCAAACTTGCCGAAAGCCTAGCCAGGTGGGAGTCGTTGTTGTACCGGGTCGACTGGCTTGCAAGTGCGGATACCGGAGTGCCGCGAATTACACGAGACGTCACTCGAGAGAAGACGGACGGGGTCGAAGTTGGAGAGTGAAAGAGAAGAAAAAAATCAGGATCGAATGTCACCAAAGAAAAACGAAACACAGTATGCTTTGCGATGCTCGACCCTTCATGCCATGCCCGACCGCCAACCGCCGTGCCCGATTGCCGAACCATCTCTCAAAAGCCCATTTCTTTTTTCATCGTGCAAAGGTCGCCAAAAGTGTGATTGATGCCAAACAAGAACGAAAATTAGCCGTCAAGTGGCGCTTGAGAAAGTCCAACAATGCCAGTCTAGAGAGGGGACAGTTCCGAAACCTGCCCTTTAACCTGCAGACTTCTCTCCGTGCCGAAAGGTGGGGGAGGAGGATGAAGGAAGCTGCAAAATAAGTGCCTCGTTATGTATGTACGTCTGCCCATGATGCTCGCTCCCATAAACGTGTGAACCGTCATGGGCGCCCGTTGTGTCGTATGTTCGTGCAGGAAGAAGTCGTAAATACTCGTTCAGGACACTCCATGGAGGAGGAGTGAAGTGGTTGTAATATGCGTTGCCAGCCCGGGGGGTAAGTTAGTCTCCGTAGGCATAAGCCAGAACAAGGTTCAGGACAACAGAAGTATGGGTTCTTCGTGGCCGAGCCCCCTGTTTTTCCATACCGTCATTTCCAGCAGCAAGAGGTGTGCGTGCAGACATCACAAGAATCGATGGCCGCACAAGCTTAGTGATGCAGGCCCGGAGAGTACTAGTGGCGAGCGCCGACTTGACTGTTGCTGGCGCGGCTACGCTCATCCTCTTCCATGACGTCGCTCAGGCGTGTGGGATGGTGGTGCCGGGGGACAGTCTCCCAGCCTGGTGCAGCATATCCCGAACCGGAATAATCCTGAGTGCCGTACGCCTGCTGCTGCTGCTGCTGCTGTTGCTCTCCAGCCGTGGTGGGATTCTGCGCGTAGCCGGCGCTGGGAGGATTGGTCGCGGGAGTCTCATAATCTTCTGTGCCTTCGTCAGAAACTGGGGAAGGCGGAGCAATGAAGGGCACCTTGTTTCCTTGGGAATCGCGAATGAACTGGCCCTGCGCATCAATAGCGTACTCACCTTCAGAGTATCCGCCCTCGGAACCAGTACCGGTATAAGTGACACCCTCCGATTCTGCGGGGGCGGACTGCCCGCCGGGGGTTTGTGAGTACTCCCCGGTGTAGCCGCTCTGCTGGCCGCTGTACTCGGGCTGGTATCCGCGCTGCTCACGAGAGCTGCCGTGACGGCTAGGGACGCCTTGGGTCATGGGAACAACCTGGACGCCGCCGACGATGGTGGGCTGGCCGCTCTGCAGAGACAGGGTCCGCTCGCGCTCCTCATGCTCACGTCGACCGAGCTCCTCCCAGGCACGACGGGCCTCTTCCTTGGAGATCTGAAGCTCCTTCTTCATCTCTTTCACGCGCTCATCGTTGGCCGAGTGTTGACGCTCCTTCTGGATGGCGGCCTGGACAGCGTTCTCTCTAGCACGTCTCTCCTCTTCAAGGGCCGCCTCCAACATGGCGTTGACCTCCTGGGCGCGCTCCAGCTCGGCTCTGGTCTCGAAGAACCATCGCTGGAACTTTCGCTCCGAGCTGGCACGGAGCCGCTGCAGCTCAACGACTGCATGAAAAAGGTTGGCGCCGGCCGCAGTAAGGTCGGTGACTTGGCGAGAAAGAGCCTGGTTGATGGGGTCGCGTTCGATGTCCTGATTGTTCTGCTCGAGCCGTCGAATCCAAAAGCTGGTAAGGCCCTCCCAGTGAGCCGACAAGGTCTCCCAACGCTCGAACGCATGGGGAAAGGAGTTCCTAGGTCTCGATGCAGCATCCTGCCCAACCTGAATTGACGTGTTGGGGGGCTGCTGAGCGGTGCCGGCCTGAGGGGCGGTGCTGTAGGGCTGCTGGCCGGATTGTGGGACGGATGCCGTTCGACCATGTCGGGGGTGGGCTTGGGATGTGTTAGGCTGGCGGAAGCTTCCTCCCGGGTTGGTTCGGGCCTGTGGGGTATCGGTGGCCACGGGTCGGCGTTGGGAGGCGGGGTCCTGTTGGGGCACGTTGGCAGTGCCACCAGTTGACCCTCCCCCGGCAGCGCCAGTAGCGGCGGCGGCGGCGGCGGCGGCTCGGCGCTCCGCATTCCGTCTCTGAGTCTCCTCCAACAGCCGAGCTTCTTGCTCGGCTCGCTGTCTCTCCAACTGCATCTGCTCTTGCTCAGCTCTCTGTCGGGCTGCCTCCCTAGCAGCGCGCTCCTGCATGATCATTCTAGGACCACGAATACCGGAAGGTGAGCTGGTAGGGTTGGGCGCGCCGGTCGGACGGTGGCGGGTCGAGGTGGACGCATTGCCGTTGGAAGCGGCGGCGCCGGTTCCGATGAGGTCGGCCATGGACGCGCTTTCTTCGACTTCGTCGGGCGTGAACGGGTGAGGTTGTCGGAGCGCTTCCTCGAGGGCAAAGAGGATAGCGGCGCGGGTATTTCTAGAGACGCGGTGAGGGCGGTGAGACTCGCGTCGGGAATGAGCAGACGGTGATGTCGGGTCTCGTTCTTGCGGAGCTTCGTCGGAGGACTCTTGGTCAAAGTCGTCCTCGCTGAGATCCTGCGAGAGAACTCTTCTTGTACGTGAGCGTCGTCGGTCTTGGGGCGCAGCAACCCGGGGGTAATCGAAAGTAAACGTCGGTGCAGGCGCAAGTGCGGGTGCGGGCGCAGGTGCAGTCGCGTGCTGCGGTCTGGGACTGAAACCAACCGAGGCGGCTTCGACGTGGACCTGCCGTGCGGGCTGCGGCGTAGGACTCGGGGTGGCTTCAAAGCGCGACGTACGTCGAAGGGTGCGCTGGGAGAGTTGGGACGAGGCGGGAGTGGACGGTCTCTCAGCTGGATCTGGGGTAATGTTTCGCGGGTGCCTCCGCTGCCGCTGCTGGCGCTGCGCAGAAGGGATCGTGGGTTCGTGAATTTCGTGACGGTCGTTAGAAGGCGTGGGGGGGGTTTGGTCTGTCAACTTGGCAATATTGCCCAGGTCACCGGCCTGACCTGCTTGAGTAGACAAGGCGGAACTCGCACCACCGCAGTGGTGAGGTCAGAAAGTAGGTGAGAATTAGAGCAGGCTTCGATGGGGGGGAGGAGGACCTGTGAGAATGCTGGTTTGGAACGTCAGCAGGTCCCGAAGGATAGGCATAGCGCAGGTGAAGTGGGTGGGTTGTTCGGAGGTGGCATGGGAAAATAATGGGTGAGGTTGGAGGAGGGAACAGGGTGCGACTTACTTGGCAGGGTGGTAGTATCTTGATGACGGGGTCCCGATACCACACCCAAAAAGGAAAACGAGAACTAAAAGCGGTCTGCGGGAACAGGCAAGATGCAGCTCGGCAGAGATGGAGTGGAATCCAAGTCGGAAAAATTGGGGATCCTTAGGAATGGAGAAGACGTGGGAAAGGTGAGGCTGCTAGCCGGGTCGAAGTGAAGAAATTCGAGAGGTTGGAGCGTGGGTTGGAAAAAGAGGGTGGCTAGGCGAATATGCGCTTTGGGAGCGAGTGCGTGGGCGGAATTGAACGGTAAGATTGGACAAGGTGCGATTGGAGAAGATGAGCGCAATTTCTGGCTTCTTTTTCTTCTTTTCTTTTTTTGTAACAAAACCGTCAGTTGGTTTGATTTGAGAAACCGAGCGACTGAACTGGGTATATGTCGATTGCAACCCACCACTGCATGTGCAGTGCAGTGCACTTTGAAGTATTGCGACAATGGTGTTGGCAGTTGACAATGTGGGTTTATCTTTTGTGTCAAAGTGAGAGGAAGAAGGATGAGTGGGGGGATTAGTGAGTGTGAGTGTGAGATGAGAGTGAGAGTGAGAACGCGCACCAGTTGGCTGAGGGAGCCTTTGCTGATTGCGTGTGGGAGGGGGGGGGGGGGGGGGGGGGGGAGAAAAACAAGGCAGGGTGTGAATTCTTTCTTCCTGTACAGCAAGAGCAAAGTACATACGGCTTTTGGGTGAGGGAGATGGTAAGTGAAAGGAAGGAGCGGTCAATTGGGTGGGCAATGGCCAGTTTGCAGGGCTCTTTCCTGGATGCACCTTTGGGAAACCCAGTCTCAACTCCAAATTGAAGCGAGAGTGGAGGGCATCACGTAGGACGCGGCAAAGAAAAGAGCAGGTAGGCCCAAGAGACTAGTCGACTTACTTGACTTGAGTGTAGCAGAAGCGGCCGGTTGGGTTGCAACGGCCGGGAGGTGTGCAACACCCACTCGGTCGCCTCAGTCAGAGTCAGTGGACAGACAGGCTTGCTTGAATGACCCGGCCAGAGAGACAGACGGACAGAGCCAGCCTTGGACAAAAGGTGTCCTTCCAGTCAGTGTCTCAATCCAGGTGCCGGACACCGACAACACCCAATTGTCTCGGGTTGCGCCGGTGGTGTGGTTGTGGTTGGTGCTCGTCCAATTCCACCACCTCCAAGCTCAGCTCAGCTCGGTCAATACCAATGTCAATGCCAATGCTGTGCCGTGGTCAACCGCGCTGGTTTCGTTGACTGCTGTGCTGCTTGCTGTCTGTCGCTACTACCCGTACCTGAAGCCAACTCGGACCTGTGGCAGCTCACCCGGCAACTCCTCCTCCATCCGACCTCGGTCAGGATGCGGACGTCGAGGACATTGATGGACGGGCGGGCTTGTATGGGGTCGGTCGGTCGGTCGGTCGCCGGTCGAGCTGATGGGTGTCGAATGCTATGCCGGGTTCGAAAAGGGCGGGATGATGGTTATGATGATGCAAGACTGAACGTGCGAAAGCATGACACTATCAGGACGGGGACGGGACACACGCACACACAGGCAAGGCACACGAAGCGGGCATGGGACGGACGGGCAACGGGTTTTAATTGTTTCGGCAGGGCACCGGCACCGTACCCAGCCCATCATCTCGCGTCGATTCAATCACCCGCGGCGGAGTTTTCACTTCTCGCCTGGCGGGCAGGGCAGGGCAGGGGGGGGACGGAAACATCCAACACAACAAGGCTTCCCGTTCAATACTAGAGCAACAGACGGACAGAGTGCGACCAAATCACCTGCCGTCGCGGGTGGGCGACATGGGTCAATTCCTGCCCGTGTCCAATTCGGTATGGCAGCACGGATGGGTTACCTTGGCTCTCGACCCAACAAAGGCCGCCCCGTTTATCCACGACGTGCAGGGAATCGCAAGCCTGTTGCAGGTGGGCTCCCCCGAAGCTATCGAGAACAGAGTTGGCCGGGGCACACTGAGATGCGCACATTGTGGATCGACGAGCTGTCGCCTGCTGCAGTCAGCTTGGAACATAGCTGCAGTAATCAGGATCGGGTGCCTTAGCAGCGCGTTTTTAAGTGCGTTCCCAAGTGTGACCCCCCTCGACTACCATGTATGGTCGCCGCCATTACGCGCATGGAATATGTGTGGTTAAGGGTCGAGCCACCAATGGAGGTCGCGTGTGGACCTGTATCAGGGTCCACCCCGTGTGCCCTCAATCGAGGAAACTTGAGAGAAACCGTCTACGAAATGGAAAGAGAATCTACCGCGATGAGCTGACATATGGGGTCTTGGGCGTCAATTGAGACGGTTGATGCGAGCCACCCCCCAAGAAGAGACTTCAGAGCATGGCCGATAGGTGAGAGCAGGAGATTGGAAGCTGCTCGCCTCACCTGGCCGACTGACCAGTGGCTTGCTGCGGCGCTGCATCGCCGCTGACGACTTCAGGCGGTGGGAGAAGATGGGCGGGGACATGGGAGGTGGGTGTGATAGGTTCGGCCGGCGAGGAAACATATGAAGCCGGCCCAATCAGCCCCAGTGGAGGACGACAGGGTGTTGGGCGCGAAGCAAACTACTACGGCTTGACTACCTACGGCAATCAAAGAAAGTATGTGAGCGGGCGGTGAGAGCAGAGAGTCGCGCGTGTGTGCGTTGTGTGTGTAAGCAAGAAAAGTTTAATCTGCGTTGGAAGTGAGATTCGGAGTGAAAAATGAGGTGTGGATGAGTGTGAGTTGTCACTGCGCAGTGACGACACGATACCTACCATTTGCACCCTCCTTTCTTCAGCAGTCCCGATAGACCGGGAGGCCCCCGTCTGGATTGGAGGCAAACTCGGCATCCAGCCGTACGGACGCTCCGTTGAGACAGGCCATTACAATCCGACATCTGTCGAGTGCGGGATGAGATGATTACGCAGTATCCATAGCAGGCGTGAGCCTGCAACATCGAGATGAAGAGAATATTTCAGTCCCGAGACACCTCATCAAAATCCGGGCAAGGTTGGTAAGTAGGTACTGCGGTGACGCGCTCGCCCAAATCACCGAGTCAAAGCGGCAGCTTTCCCTGTAATGTATTATGATGACGAGACCTGCACGCACAGGAGCCGTTCGTCCGTTTCTCAATCGTGCTGCCTCCCACCCAGGATCTGACACGCAGTGCGTTATTGAATGGTGGATGCATTCATTAGCAGCAACCGACGCAGAAGGAAGAAGGGACGAAGAACAACTCTTTTGGAAGGACAGGATGTCCGAGATTCGGTCATGGGCTTAGTTCCATGGGGGCATTGGCCTCAGCTATGATTATCAAGGCGGAAGAGAAGGAAGTGAAGTGCATGCATGGAAGGAGCCCTCGGCCTCATTTTGCCCAGCATCTTGCACAGACCATGCACAGCTCTGGCCGCCCCATCCCAATCTCTGCCAGGGAAGGGGAAGGGGAAGGGGAAAGGAAGCAGCAACCAACGACAAGGTCCGTGCACAGACATGTGTACCGATACCTTCCTAAAGTGAGAGAGCTCGGGGTCCCCAACTGGGAAACAACGTGGCCCCTGCCGCTCGGTCTTTCCCTGGACCAATCACATGATCCAATGGACCACACATGCCATTAAGCTCGCAACTGCCTCGTGTGCCTGGAACCGAACCGAACTGCTCTTTCAATCAGACAAAACGATACCGCCGCCCTGGACCTGTTCTTTGACTGATCGCTCGCAATCATGGATGGAAATAGGACACAAAATTCGGGCCCCCAACACGCACAGCATGGTTTCGAAGATTGACCGCATGCCACCCCGTCGTGTCCAACTGCCTTAACTTAACATCTATCTAATCTTTTATCCACCGTCGGGGGTCAATCCCATCTCGGCGTCTGTCTCTCGTTCTGCCGCCCAACACAAGCAGGCCAACTCCTCGCTCCGCACGTCGTGTCGAAAACCTCCAAAGTCAAGGATGCCTTTCGGGCTCCTTCGAAACCCTAGGGCAGCTCACATCGTCTTCGGCCGTTGCAACACGGAGAGAAATTCTCGCGTTTTCTTCACATCGCAATTCTTGACTCCCGACGTCTCCCCGACGAACTGGTCCCTGGAGGGCGATGGTCTGTTGTCAACGTACTAGCTTGGGCTTACATTGTATGCCGACACCGACCGACTCTGTCTTTGTGAAGGGAGCCGAAAGGATGAGAAGACACTGTACGCAGCCTGGTCTAATCACAATGCCCACTGACGGCCGTTACATCTCATGCACTCACAATGCGATGCGATCGGATCAAGTTGAACGGAGGCTCTTGCCAATATCCCTTCGAAATTGCCTGCGGAGACGCGTTTGATTCGACCAACGGCGGGTTCGGCTCGTCTGAAACAAGCAACACCCCAGCAACACATCGTACGGAGAAACTACGAGCTTCGTATACACGCACAACTGCTGTGTTATACTTGTGGAAAGGGGAAACACCACACTCGCATTACTAGCTGAACCATCTTCCACGGCCCCTGCCACCTGAGTCATCCAGTCGGATGATGCATAAGAAGACGAGAAGACGAGAAGAAGAAGAAAAAGCAAAAGTCGCTCACTTCTTCACAACCTCCCTTGCATGCTGCGTGTCTTTTCACTCGTAACTTTTATACGTCCGGCAGCGCACAAAAACGCCTAGAGCGCTGGGTCATCCCTAGCCTGCAGTAGCTGGTAAGAAAGGCTCGGTATGCCAGGGGCGATCGTCCCCTGTCGATCGTCCAGTCACTGCTTCTCGTAATCCGATTGTTAGAGGTCGAAGAAGTCCAGGCCTAGCCCATCTTGTCATGGGAAAGCTCTTTTCCAAGGGACAGCTTTTGCTCGAGGCCCTGGAACACCCGTCACACCCTTAGCTAAGGACGATCTCCCGCATCTTAGCATCAGGGGACCAAGACCCTCAAAGTGCTATGTCTCCGTCCTGGTGATGGTTCGAAGTTGTGCGTTCACTTGGTCAAGTGTTATGCAACTCGCTCGCTCCAATACTCGTCTTCGAAGAATGACATATGTCATCTTCTGGAGCCCCGGACGCCGCATGCGGCTTTGACAGCATGGGGGCGCATGGCAAACGGCATGGCGTCCTCCGTCGCCTTGGTCAGAGTTGTTACCCCGTTTACCAACATACCGACTGACCATCTAGACGCTAGGCAGTATCAGCCCCAGCACCCCAAGCAGCCAATCGATCACTCAAGCCATACATCAGCCCGTTTGTCTCACGGTGGCAGCCGTTGCTTCGGAGCGCCGCATGCCTGCGGGCCGTATGTTTTGATGTTGCTATTTGCAACGGTCCGCAGAATAAGATTGTCGCCAAACAAACAGAGTCAGGGGGAACGTGCCTTCCGTCATCCACCTGCTGTGATTGTCAATTCTTTCCCTCCCTGCACTGAAAATAACCCAACCCCCCCCCAGCCGAAACATTGGTGAGTAAGCAGATCGAGATCGTGGTCGAAGCCCGGAAGGAGCAACATCGCCCTGTCTTGCTGATGATCCCTGGGACGAACCACAACGAGATATTCGGTCTATGGATCGTGATCGTGACCGTAGAGTCGAAGGCCAAACGAACAAACCGGCTCGCCGAGGATGCCCTGTCTCACTTTTCGTCCCGATTTTACCGTCGCAACAACATGCGTACAAGGGCAGATTGCTCGAAACTGGTTCACGCCGAATGTTTTGTAAGGATGGGCTGCTTACCTGCCTCTTTTTTCTTTTTCATGGCACCGCCTGTCAACGCAAAGAGTCCTGGCAGTCTAGACCGGCCCTTACGACTTGATCATAGCGGGCGCAGGTCGAGAAGGATCTCTGGGGCCACTGTGGCGCCATCGGCTCGGAGGGCAGAGTGTCGTCGCCGTGGAAGTGAGACAAGCAAGAGGTTGACACATTCCAGGCCCGTGGTTCCCACATGAAAGTTTATCCCGCCTTGCTTTTTTCTGGACCCCTTCCGGCTATTATCCGAAAAGTCTGACAGCTGCAGAGAATCAGATCCAGCAGACTCTGACCCCTGAAAAGACCCTCGTTCTCTAGTCAAGGGACAAGTGCTGGGAGAGTAGGGGTCGTGGTTGAGGCTCTCCGAGTTGGCTTCTCTACAGAGACGTGCCCTTTTCCTTGCTTCTTCCCAGAGCAGGTTGATTGACGCCATGCAAGTCATGCATCCTCTTTTGCAAGAGGGCCGGTGATGAAGAGGAGATATCGTCATGGCTTGGGTGTCATGATGAAGCTAACCCAAGAGAGTTTTCCATCCTCGTAACCGCCGGACCAACGAGAGTTTATCAAAGCGCGTTTGCTGCCCCGAGCAATGTAGAGGCCCATGGTCATACCGTTTTGGGAAATCGTGCATTCCGCATGATGCGGAGGTTACCGGCGGGCAGCTTCCCATTCCCTCGAGAGCCGTCGAGGCGATCCATCTTCCGATGCTGACCAGTCCGACTCCCCACAGCACGCTAGCCACACCTCGCTCGCCTGCTCGCAAGCACCCGTGATTGGCCCCCAATGTGCCTGCCACCGAGCATGCATATCCCACGAGGGATGGAGAGCCCCAGCCGAGGAATGTCTGAGGATCTGGAGGGGATAGCCTTCTGTCCGTAATCAGCCACCGCAGTGGGTTGCGAGTCCCGAATAGACCCAGAGTCGGATGGGTGCCCAAGACACGATGCTGCATATTTGTGCGCTCCTGTTGTTGCCCGCCGTCGGGTGCGAGGCATACGATTCGTGCCGCTGGTAAACCATGACAGAGGAAGCATACATAAAATTTGTTTTGTGGCAGGGAGACGGCTGTTGTTCACAGCCACGTACCATGCCGTGCATATATCGTTGCCTCCCCCTCGTCCACCCCGTGGTCTTTTGCCCAATGTCTTTGTATCGTGACGTTGGCACCCTCAGAGTTCCACAATCAGTACTGTTCGGAGCCGTCGTTGCAGACGCTGACTGCAGCGATGTCTGTTCCCCACGAGGACGTGGTCGGTCACGCGCAAGAGCCTGATATCCCGAGGGCACCTCAACCATCATCTCGGCCGCCGAGCATGGAGCGTCAGACCAAGCTCGCGCACCTCAAGCTGGTCTCCAAGTACTACGGCTACGCCAACTTCTCGTACCCTAGAGGCGACGGCACTCCGACGAGGAACCCGTACAGGAGGGCCGGGCATACGTTTTCGACAGAGGATCTCTCCCAAGACTGCCATGGCAAGCTATCACGCCCAAGCACGCCGACAAGAAGAGACCGCACCTCCATCGGCTCACAAAGCTCAAACGGCTCAGCACCCAGCCTCATCGACGACCGGACCGACTCGGAGGTGTCACTGGACGACGACTACCAGTACCACGCCTCTGCCTCTCAGCTCTGGGACACCTTCTGGCCTACTACTGAAGAGGGGCAGGCTCAGAAGACGCCCGAGAAGTCCAGGACTCGGTATCCGGCATTGATACCGTCGCCGCATATCCGGAGAGCCAAGAAGACGGGCTGCATCACCTATGACGACTGCCCTTTGCCACCGCGCCCTGTCGAGTATAATATCCAAGTCAAGCACACCCCATCACCAACCCCTCCTAGCAAAGAAAAGCCCGCGACTCTACCCCGGCCACACGCAGCTATGAGGAGCTGCCAGGCTACTCAAGCCTTGCAGGACCCCGAGGGCCCCGAGGGCCCCGACGGACCTCGCAGCCATCCAATAACTCGCCGCACCGTTCGTGCCGTCCGTTCGTCCTACAGCATATTCCCACGCACCCATCACCAGGCGCCGAGCTACCCTCCTCCGCCTCCCCCTCCTGCTTCACCACGCATGTCTCCTTTTCCAAAATCCCCAAGCATGGCGAACCTCCGACGAGGTCATCGCCCACCACCCATTAACCTTCATCCCATACCCGCAGCTCCCCTCCACTCCCCAGCAACCGCATCCCTCTTCTGTCCCCTCTCGTCGCCTCTCTACTCCCCCAACCCTTCCGACTACACCAGGCCTCACACTTCACACGGGAGTTACTACCCATCCACCTCGGACCTCACCCACCCCCGTTCCGCCCCGCTACCGCCGCCACATACACCCACCCTAACCACTCCGTGCGACACGGGCACGCCCAAGTCCTTCTTCGACTTCGACTCGGATTCGGACTCGGACGACTCGGAGCCCGAGCACGCCATCTCCCGCCTCGTCAAGACGCTGCACAAGCGCACCGCCAGCGAGACGCGGCGGAGCGGTAAGGCGGCGGCGGTTGCGGACGCGCAGCTGCGCCGGGCCCGCGCCGAGACGGAGGCCGAGAGCGTCCGCGAGAACCAGATGCAGTTTGAGCGGCACAAGAGGTCCGGTGCCGTCTTCGGGCGCATGTTTGGGCGCGCGCACGGCAAGACGCCCAACATGTAAAGGCGGCGGCACGTTACGACTCGTACGGCCTAATGAACGAGAGGAAAGCGTGGGACTAGCCGGAGTATCTTGTTTTGCGACAGCGTAGCGTCCCTTTTTTTTTTTTTTTTTTTTTTACTTCGTCCTTGTTGCTCTGGTGTCTATTCCTTTTGTTTTGTTGTTTCTTCTGTCTTACCGCGGTCCCGCGTCCCAGTATGATTTACGTGTCTCTTCTCTCTTCCCATGTACTTGATGGCCTTTTTTTTCCTTCTCTTTTTTTTTATTTTTATCTACGCTTTCACGGGTTTCACCATTATCAATACTGCAATGCTATCAACGACGAGAAGAATCGCGGGAATTGGACCGGTGGGGAGGAGGATTTAGTCAGCAAGAGGAGGAAAGGGGGTTGAAGTGCAGCCAGCGGTGTTGGGTCGCAGTGGCGAAGGAGAGGGGGGATGAAAGATGGGGCGTCAAGGGAGGGAAGGGAATTGATGGTTCTGGAAAGGGAGGGAGGGTGGTGATTGACGAGTCAGACGGATCACAAATGTCAACAGCAATGATCAACAGCAACACCGACGGTACCTGGTGATGGAACCTTTCTTGGGACGAGGAAACAAAAAGGAGATGAGGGAACGGGCATCAGGAGGGGGGGGGGCTGGAAGGGGCCACGATGTCGCGGCGCGAAGGCGGGAAAAGTCAAAGTGTTGTTGCTTTTCTCATGATGTTTGTTTTCTTATTTTTTTTCTTTCTTTTCTCTCTCTCTGTCCAGTCTACCAGGGCTTACACGACGAGACGACTCATCATGAATACCAAGAAGGAGTGTCGGAAGACAACGATCAAGACGAGGGGCAAAAAGAAAGGAATCTAGATAGAGCAACTCTAATGGCGCGGCCGAATGAAGAATGAGGGAATCCACACACACACACACACACACTCATACTCATACCGGTACTCACAAGATTTGTCCGTTTTTATTGAACAAAACCACGCCGTCGGGAACCTCTCACGGGCAAACATGCCGCCGCCGCCCTTGTCGCATTCCCTTTGCGAGCAGATGAGACTTTTTGGAGGGGGGGGGGGGGGCGGATGTCGTCCCGAGGCCAGCCGGTTTCTCTCTCCTTTGCCTTCCGTCCCGGAATTCCAGTCAAACTCCATCGCTCACTTCCTCTTCCCGCCCCTCCTCTCACACGTCATCCCATGTGAAAAGTGGAGGTGGAGGAAGGGGGGGGGTGGCGGCCGGGCTCTAGGACCCGGCCGGGTTACCGGAGTGACGGCCGTCGGCGATATGCAGAGGGAGAAAGGAAGGCACGGCTCGGCGAGGTCGGATTTGTACATCGTTTTTGTCTCCCCCCCCCCCCTCCTCCTTTTTTTTTTCCTTTTCCGGGAAAAGAGGCCCAGACCAGGAACCTTTTCGGATCCCGAGAATTCCAGAGTGGCCGTCGCGAGGCGAGGGGAACCGAGAGGTCCAGAATGCGACGGGGACGCCAGTGCTAACTTGAATCGTCACCTCCCTCGATGAAGAGGGAGAGGTACAATGTATCTATTGGTAATGTGTCTATTCATCCCGCAGTACGGGGAGGGAGAAGGGCGGCCAATAAACAACACCAGTTACAATAAAAAAAACAGAAGCGGGAACAAACTTCAATGCAATGATCCATAATCAATTTTACATCTGGCCCCCGTGGCCTCATTATCGTACCATATCGTGTGAATACGTCTCATCTTCTTTCTTTCGTTCATTCAGTCTTCACATGTCGCCGCGTAAATGCCCACCCGCCGTGTTAAACGCCATGCTGATGCTAGATAAAACCAATTCCCCCAAAACTACCAGAAATCAACAGAGAGGAAGAGAGCTCTCAAGCAGCGAGGAAGCCGCGCAAAACAAAATATGAACAGTAAAACTTTTTTCGAATCGGTGATTGAGCATTAAATCATAAAAGGGCGCGACGGCGCCCTCTCGTGGAACGGCAGGCGCTCCGTGAAGTGTTTCTGCCTCCGGACGCCGAGCCGCCTCTCGTCGTGGCCGGGCCAATACCCAAACATCCACGTGCTCTGCGCTGCCGTCTCCGTCGACCTGGACCCTACGCCGAGGTAGACGCGCAGCTTCTCGGCAGAACGAGGCGCGGCCTGGAACGCCGGGTCCAGGGCGTTGTCCTCGTTGGCGAGGAAGGAGAAGACCTCGGCGGGGCAGGTGACAGCGTGCGGGAGGCGGTACTGGTTGCGCCCGACGAGCAGGGAAGCGAGACCGGCGAGGTAGAGGACGAGAAGGGCCAGGATGACGCCGAAAACAGGAACATTGGGGAACATGCGGACGCCCGGGGCGGTGGTGAGGGCCATGAAGAGGCCGCCGGCGAGGGCGGGGAGGAAGGCGAAGAGGGCGGCGAGCAGCGAGAGGGCGGCGACGCGCCAGTGGCCGTTGCAGATGGCGTGAAGAGTGGACTGAAGCGGCAGGCAGGCGGCGTAGTCGGCGAGGATGGAGCGGCCGGCCGGGGCACCGTCCTTGGCATTGAGGTCGGCCCAGGGCTGGAGGATACGGACATGCTGCTCGATGGACTGGAAGGCGAGGTAGAGGAGCAGGCCGATGAAGCTCGGGACGAAGCTGTAGAGGAAGTTGGCGGCGGAGAAGGCGGCGATGGTGGGGGCCACAGGGACGCCCGGCCGGAAGCCGGCGATAAGGCTGGTCCGGTTAAGGAAGGACACCACGAGGAGGGCGGCGAAGAGGACGGCGGCAGCGATAACGAAGAAAAGGACCTGGCCGGTGCGCAGGCACCATGGGAGGTAGAGGGTCTGGATATAGCCGTCGCGGCCCTCGTCGATGAGGTGCGAGGTGACGGACAGCCGGTCCGACTCGTTCTTGACGTCGTAGTGGTCCGAGGGCGTGTGGCCCTGGGAGTGCTCTGTGCCCAGGCCGTACCAGGGGGCCTGCTGGTTGTTGTTGTCCGTCATCCAGTAGCCGAGCCTATCGACAATGCGGTTCCGTAGGATCCTGCGTAGGGCGCTGCGGTTCTCAGAGACCTCGGACCCGCGGTAGGAATCACGCGTGTTGCTCCTGCTAATCATGACGGATAGGTCGGCAATGGACCTTGGGTCCCAGACGAGCCCCGTCACGCGGTTGCGCCAGAAGAGCGCCAACAGGACGGCGGCGCCGATGACGAGGATATACAGGGCCACCAGCGTCCAGACGACACCCTGGACGGCGGACCAGTACCAGACCTTCTCGTTGAGGATGACGGTGAATGATGCGCTCGCGAGGGGGATGGCGAACGCGCCTAGCCACAGGATCGCCAAGGCCATCTTGACGTGAACGGGCCCGGCGAGGTGGGGGAGGAGGAAGGTGGTGGGGTACATGTTCTGGAAGAGGGCGTTTCGCCTCCGCAGGGGCTCGTCTTCGGATAGCGCTGCGAAAGGCAGGATGCGCAGCGTGGTGGCGGCGACGCACTGCGTGTACACGAAGATGAAGGCGGCGACGATCTGCGGCAGGAGGCGGAACAAGAAGTACTTGCCGCTGTAGATGGTCTCGCCGTAAGTCAGCAGACCGGGTTGGATAGGCGAGTAGACGGCGGCGACCACGAGGCAAGCAGCCATGGCGACGCACATGACGACGAGCGCGGCCATGGAGGGGAGTCTGAGGATGGCGGGCAGGTAGGTAAGGCGGGGGAACATTGTGCGGTCCTCGTCGATGGTGTCGAGTTTGTTCATACCCGGGAACACCGTCTCCTTCTCGCTGATAGGCAGCCACTTAGGCGAGGACTCGCCGGTGGCCGGGCCCTGTTCCTGGTGGTGGTGGGGGTTGGCGGACTGGGGGGGTGACATGGAGAAGATGCGGGTGCCGAGGGACACGGAAGGACGGTCGGCGGCGTGGGACTGGGGGCGGGACTGACGGCGGAGCGAGTCCCGGGCGTGGCTTGGAACGGGGACCACAGGCGTGAAGCCGCTTTCGGGGTCGCCGCTGATGCGCTGGCTCTCGAGGTCGTCCGGGAGGTAGCCGGCGACGCGGTAGTAGCCGTCGTTTCCAGCAGCGGGGGAAGGCACGCTGGAAGGAGGGGAGAAGTTGTGGCCATGCTCCCGAGTCAGGGCCTCCAGAGCATAACGCAAGTAGGGGGTGTCGTCGACGCCGGGAGTGACGGAGCCGTTGGCGGCGATGGTGAGTTCATCGCGGAAGCCCTTGCTGCGGACGCGGTTCGTAACCTCGTCCACGGCGAGCTGGGCTTCGTTGAAGCGGACGGCGGGCGGTGAGACGTAGGGGTCCTCGGCGTCGAACATGGTACCGACGACGACTGGGGCAGGGAAGCTTTGGTTGGGGTAGTAGGGCCTCGCTTGTTGTTGTTGTTGTTGTTGCTGTTGTTGTTGCTGTGAAGGTGGAGAGGGTGCACAGGGAACGAAGTCAGGAGGCGGGGAGATGGTTTGCTGGGGGGTGGAGTCTTGTTCCTCTAGGCCATTCGCATAGTGTTGTCTGGTAGCGTGGTGAGGACGGAGAGTGTTTGGGGTGGACGACTGTTGTGATGGTGTCCTGGCAGACCAGAACTGAGGGGGATATTGACCGCCTGCGGGAGCGAGCGTCAGCAAGCACGAATCAAAAACGACGAGTGGTGGTGATGATGACGATGACGAGGTGTGGAAGAGTAGAAGAATGTGTGTGTGTGTGTGTGTGTGTGTGTGTGTGTGTGTGTGTGTGTGTGTATGGATGGGCGAGGAGGTGGACGTACGTTGTTCTTGGGCAAAAGGGTCGGGGCGGGCGTCGCGAGAATACATGACTCTGACTGACTCCTTGGCCCTCGGTCTTTCAAAGGTTGTTTCAAGGGTTATTCGTTGTTGGTGTGCGAGAATCTACCAGAGGCGGGCGGGCGTGTAAGCCTCCACTCGGGATGAGGCAACAGAATCAAATTGCGAGGGGCAGAGGAAGAAGAGAAGAGGTCGGAGATGTCTGCAATGGAACGGTTGATGCATCACACCAAAAAAAAAAAAAACGAGGAGGGAGGGAAGGCCATGCATCGTGGGTGGTAGTGCAGTTTTGCATGGTGCGAATTGCAAGTGGTTGGGGTTCGCGACTGGCGATGGTGAATGGAGTCGGCGTTTGGCGGTGCGATGTTTGGGTTTGGAAGCCGGAGGTTGGGGAAGGCGGCACACGGCGCTTCTCCTTCCCAGCCACCGAGAAAACGCCCCACCAGGGGTTAGGACCCTTGAAACCCGACCGGGCGCTAGGCCCCGTAGCGCCCCGGAGGCAGGAACCAACGCCAGAAGGGGACGACGATGGAACGAAAGGCAGGGGAAGACTCACCAAGTGTCTTTTTCTTTTTTCAATGCATCAGGTAAGGTACCGAGTTTGCATGAGAAGAGGAAAGAAACGTGTTGTAGGCAGTTTATCCCGTCTTTGTATCCTCGTCCGAGTTGCTACCTAGTGTACTGTACTCCGTACTAATGGAGAAAAAAGGTACGTATCCTGCAGTACAGCTGTCCTGCAGCCGCCTCCCGACCTGAAAGTGCCTGACACCACTCGCACCTGCTTCCCGGGTATGACTATCCGCATCCGTACTGTGCCTGCCAAGTTCAAGTTGGCAATCGGCAGGAAGGACACACCACCAAGAGAAAAACACGGAAGGAGGGCCCCACCAGCTGGCAGCAGATAGCCCCACATTTGCTGCCACATCGCGACAGGGGTTTGTGTGTGTGTGTGCTTTCTCGGTGGCTGGGCCCGGCATGGGTTCCGGCCCCGTCCCGGCAGCTTTGGATGTGCTCCTCCTTCTCCCCCGACCTTTACTACTTCCTATCTACCTCTGCCCTGAATGTGAAACCTGGTTCCTGGCTTGAAAAAGGGGGGGGGGGGGGGGGGGGGGGGGAGACACCTATTAATATTATTATTCAGTCTCTTCTCTTTTTCTTCCCCTTTTTTTTATCTCCTTCTTTAACCCCTGTTACCTCAGACTCTGGGGAAAGGAAGCTAATAGTTGCTGTTAGCGTATATCTTGCGCAAAGGGTTGGGAGAAGCCCCCAATCACCCCGCCAACGCTCAGCCCGGAACAGTCTGTCCTTGCGAAGCTGCCGTTCAGCAGTGCTGGTGAGCGGCGTGTTGTCTTGAATTTCCATCCCATTCTTGTCGGGATTGCACCGACTGTTTGGTCGTGGTGCGGTTCATAGTGTAATGTGTTGCTGGTATTTGATGCTGATAGGAGTGGCCGCGGTCAATGCTGCTTGCTTCCGAGTCCTTGTGTATTTGTACTTGGAGGCTACTCGAGAACAAAACGACAAAACAGTTCGCTCCGTCATGGACCAGTCTAGTCTGCCAGGTGTCTCTGCCCTCTGTAATCGTTGTCTCCCACCGGCACCTCCAGATACTGTCACGACAACCATGCTAGGATTCGTCGACACCATCCAGAATGTGCCCAGTCTTCCGTCGGTATGTCAGGTATCCGTCTTCATCCTGACGCTGTCCGCGCAGACTGCTTAAGATGGGCTGCCAGAATGGGATTTCCTCATACAGCTCCTGGAAAGCGCCATCGTTCTTCAAGGCGTCGACAGTATTCCCCCCAGCGTCTATGAGGTCGACCGCAATCGTCCCATAAGTGGCCCAGAGGTGCCTGAAAAGCCCGACCTCTTCTTTTTGTATGCCATCTAGCAACAGCTCCCGCCCCCGGAGCTCCTCCGCCTCCGTCATCGCCTCGCTGAGAGTTTCCAGCCGGCGCATCACCATGGACAGCGCCGTATCTCCCAGCGCGGCCTTGAAGCCCGTATTCATCAGCACGTTCTTCTGCGACTGGTTTTTTGTCATGCGCACCCGCCAGTTGAGGACCTCGTCCCCGGCTGCCACGGGTGACGCCTCCAGCCGGTGGTTTGTGTCGCTGCCGCTTTGCAAAAGAGCCTTGACGGCCTCGACGTCTCCCTGGTGGGCGGCAGCCATGAGAGGCGTCACGCCTTCGCAGACCGCGTCCGGGCGTGCGCCGTTTTCTATGAGTTCAGCGGCGACGTCGCCGTGGGCGTAGTGGAGCGGCGTTGCGCCGTGGACGTCCGCGACGTTAGGGTCCGCCGCCAGCTCGAGGAGCCTCGTGATCAGGGCGGCGGTGCCGCTTCTGGACGCCATCAGGAGTGGTGTCTCGCCGCTGCTGTTGCGCGAGTTCACCTCGGCGCCGTCCTTGAACAGCGTGTTCAGGATGACGTACGGGTAGTCCCGGAGCCGGGGCTCGCAGTACTTCCGGCAGGCGAACTCGAACGCCGTCTCGTTCTTGGAGCCGTAGCGCCGGGTCCTGTCGTAGGCGCCTGCGCCGCGGAGCACGTGGAAGACCTTGTAGTCGGGAATGCCGATGGCGAGAAAAAAGGGCGGGATGTCGTTGTCTGGGTTGGCTAAGACATCGGCCCCCAGCTTAACGAGCAGGCCGGCCAATGCCGCGAGGCTCCTATCCTGTTGTAGACAGAGCTGCAGTGGGCTGGGGAAGCCGGACACGCTGGAACCGTTGGGATCTGCGCCGTGTTCGGTCAGCAGAGTCCATGCCAGCCGCTCGTGATTTTGCTGGATGGCCGTATGCAAGAGAGTCATCCCGTTATCCAACAAGGCATCGATGTGAGGGAGGTAGTTCGTAAAATAAATGATAGGATCACACATGCATGTTTTGGGTGGGGAACGGCATGTGTCAGTAAATACGTGCGTGATGGCCGAGCGAGCAATGGAGTTCAAGCTGAATTTGGCCCTCGTCGGGTCCATGAACTGGTTGCAGCGGTCACCCGTACCAAAAGGAAGACTGCCTAGACCGATGAAGCGCAGGACAACGGAATGATCGATATTGCGCATAGCTTGCATGCAACTCATCAGGTAGACCGGCACTAGTGGGCCCAGGGCTTCTCCAGACAGGTTGAACCCTTGCCGACCTCCCTCAACAGCCAGGCCGTTTGCGGCCGTGGCCCGGTTCCGTTCGTCTTCCTCGGCTAGGCGAACTGTTGTTGATAGGACCTCGCTCAAGCTATCCGTGTCTGAGTTGAAGAGGAGGTGTCTGAAGAAAAAGCCGTGGTTGTTGTGGACGGCCCATTCTGCGGCGGAGGCGGCGGAGCTAGCATCCCAAGGGAGAGAGCCTGAGATGGATGGCACGGCTCCGGTAAGTAATGTCTTCCAGAGAGAGTACACAGCGGGATCTATTGCCTCGGAGAAGCTCCTGGACATGATCAGCCAGTATGCTTTGGCGTAGGGCAGAAAGAGCTGTACGTCGTCGTGGACTTTGAATCTGTGTGCTAGCAAGTCGGACGCCAGGCGCTCCAGGTCAATCTTGGAGACGCTGGAGCGTTTATCCTTGGACAAAATTCTCATGACCTTCTGAGAGAGCCTGTTGGACGGCATGGCCGACTCGGCCACCATCTGGGGGACCTGGGCGAAGGAGACCTTTTGCGCCGTCGAGACCCGGTTCTCGAAGACGCTGTAGTTTAGATACGTCACGCAAACCGCACCTAAAGTGACCTCGGAATCTTGGAAGTCAAAGTGAAAGGGCGCCGCGCTCCGGAGCACGGGGCGGCCGGCAAGGTGCAGGAGAGCGCTGTGGTGGATGAACCTGACGCCGAGATCCTCCTCGTCGATGTCAAGAAGATTGCCGCCGTACTGCGATGCTAGGGTGTGCCCAGAACCGACAAGGCTCGAGGAGTTCCATGCTAGGATTCCGGGCTCAACATTGACGGCCACACGTAATTCGTCTAGGGATAGGCACGGGTCGGCAGCGGCGACGAGTTGGAAGATCCTAGAATTGTATCTGTGGTCTGAAATCCTTAAAAGGGCCTGGTCGAAGGCCTCTGGGAGGTTGCGGGGTAGGTTGTTCATGATGTTTGATATGTCGGCCTCGGACCGAAGATCCTGGGTGTATTTCGGGCAGATGGCTTCAATCTGGAGGGACAGCCACAGGAACATGCCCTGGCAGCCCACCAGTAGCTGCCTCGTGATCAGCTGTTCCAGTTCAGCGGAGAACGGCCTGGTCAACTTCCACCGCTCTACCTCTGTCGATATATAACTGAGGATATCACCAGAGCGGTCTGCATGCTCCATGGAAAGCGTCGCGTTGATCTGCATCATGGATTCCGCGATTGTCTTGCATCTCGACGTTGGTCGAGATGAGCAGCATAGCCGAACGTGCCTAGCAGTCATGAGACGCTTCATCTGTATGAACAGCTCGTCCATCTCCTCGTGCGGAGCTTCGTCGAGACCATCCAGCACAAAGACTCCCTCCCAGTCCGGCGGGGTAATGTCCAAGATGAGTTGAACGTAGGCTTCGGGGTTGGATGTGGTTGGGGAGCCGTCGGTGCGATCTAAAAACTGTTCGATTGTTGATGCGAGGACCGGACTACTCAGGACCTGGTAGGCAATGCTTCCGAGTATGTTATCCACATGCAGCGTCTTTTGGTTGTTGCTTTTGCAGAAAAAGTACGAGACAGTCCGGGGTCTTTGTTTAGTCGGAGCGGCTGCTACGAAGTTAGTCTCATTGCCGGTAAGTCGATTGTGAAATTGGTAGGGGAAGAATGACTCGAAGATGAAGAATGGAAGACAGGGTGACGGAGACAGGGAGCACAGATGCTGAGTACAAGGACTTTGCATAGGGTCGGGCAACACTCACGGCCGGAGCTCGCGTCCCCTTTGGTCAGGACTAGGTCAGCAATGGCGGAAGCCATGGTGACGGTCTTTCCAGACCCCAGGTTGCCCTGCAGCCAAATGGCAGACGAAACGGGGCACTTGAGCCATTTGTGATACTCGTGGTCTTTGAGTATCCAGTTCGAGGTCCCCTTCTTTCGTTCTCGACGCCATATGAAGTCTAACTCTTTTTGGTCCGGGCACAGGAATTCGAGGATACGGTGTTTGCGAGCTTCCCGGTTGCGCCTGGCAGCTTCTCGTGACGTTGCTATTTGCAGTCTGTTGAGCCGTTCCAGACTGGACGACTGTTCTTGAAGAGTCGACTTGGCCACGAGCATGGCGGTCCGCTTCTCTATCAGCCGCCCCCACTCGGCGATGTCCGTCTCCAGCGGCTTGATAACGGAATCGAACGAGGAGCCAAACGAGGAGGCAACTTGCGAGGCGAGCGATTTCCGAGCGTGGGTGACGATATTCTTGCTGATGTCGACAACAACGATAATGTACTCGCACATGTAGCCCTGGACTTGTCGGCATTGGGGGAAGAGCATGGCGAAATCTTGGTGCAGTGAGACGGAGCGTCCAATCCTCAGGAGCAAGTTTGAGACCTTGTCAAAGTACGACAGGAAACTCAGGGAAATCTGTCATTATTAGAAGATTTGCGGCCGTCCCGTCATCCCCCACATCCCCGACTCCTCTCCTCGTACATCGACAAAAGATGATGTATGACCAGCCGTGATGAATTGACATACCTCTAAAGCCACCCGCACAGCGGCCCAGGCGCCGCATGCGAGGAGATTTTGCGAGCCGCCGATCAAAACATCGCCAATGGGGGCAAACTGGCGGATGCGGTCGAGGATGGCGACCAGGCGGGTGGCGTAGGGTCGCCAGGACTTGTGGCGGCGGGCGCCATCGCGGTTGATCTCCTCGGTAAGCTGGACCACCTCGAGGGCGTTGGGCGGGCGGCGCGTCTGCAGGTTCTTGAACTTGGCGTGTCTCTCCTTGTCGCCGCTCAGGCAGACGCTGAACTCGGAAATAGCCTGGGCCAAGCGGATTTCCGGCTTGAGCTTGCCAACGGTGCCGACCGCCGTCGATAGGTTCTCCATGGCTACCGGCGGTTGTCGTCGTCCCGGGAGGTGTTTTCCCCGGATCTACCTCACACATGCGCAAACTGTAGATGGTTGTGTTGAGTCTCACGAGATGTGACGGCTCATGGCTAGCTTCCTGTCAGCATGAACCGCAAACAATGCTTTCTGGCTGCTCACGTCTTCGGCACACAGCCTGATCCAGCAACTACCCTTCGGCCAGGATTCGCGGAGAAATGGGATAACCCAACTACTGGGGCGTTGGCTTCGAAGAGCAGAAACAGCCATCAGGCTGCAAGGCCTCAGACAGTAATGCCACACAGCTGGGGCAGAGGTGGCACGAGGAGGGGCATCGTTGCGGCGCTAAACGAGGCGGCTGTGAAGCTGATCCTGGCCACATGCAGGAGCCTGAAGCGTGATGGGTGCCGAGATTGCACACACAGCACCTCAGAGAGAAGTGCTGACAGTCACGTGAGTACTTTGGTGTCATCTTGCCCTACTTGCAACAGGACTGTGCCGTATTTGAGCGCAAGCTGAAAGGGGAGAAAAGAATCGGTAATCTTCCGGCACTTTGCCTGATTCGAATAGGCCCAGCTGTACAAGTTCCCATCAGAGCCCTAGCCTGGGAACCTGGCAGGGCATTCAAAAGGTTGGCATCTCTGGTTGATGTCGACTCTGTGATTAGTCTTGGATGCATCAACTAATGAGGAGACTCGGGTCAGATGAGCCAGTTCCTTCAGGAGCTAGGCAATGGCTGTTTGGGTATAATTAATGACCGCCAGTTAGCCATTCGCTAGCAAACATCGCCCGAGACGCTCCAACATGGCACGTGGGAATCAACGTTTCGGTTCGCGCCGTGGCATGGAGTCTAATTCAACTCCAGGAACTAGTCTCATCTAGTGCTGCATTTCACTAACCGCGGTCGGCCACGACCTGCTTCGGCTTTCTGGACTTGATCGTTTCAGATGCGGTATACTGGGCTGCTTGCAGCAGTTTTGTTTTGAGGTGAATGTAAGCAGTGGAACCGTAGCGTGCATTGCATGAAGCCGAGTTCAGAAGCCTCCTCGGCAGCTATGGAGCTGTAGGGGACGTAAGAGGCTGATATACCTCAGATTGGTTTCTAACTAGGCTTTGAGGGTTGTGAGTGTGTATGTTGGTATCATCTGGGATGTAGTTCTGGATAAGTGCAGTCACATACATGGTTAGCACTTTTGATAGATCGATGGCGAGACGGCGAGATAGTTGAATGGGGGCAGTTAGAGGCAGACTAGTGAGTTAACATCAGGGGCATATAGTCCCTATATCCTAGAAGACACTCTTAAACTCGATATATTGGTAATTAATATGGTAGATACCGGGCCTATGGCCTTGTATTGTGTATGTGTAGAGTTTCCGCCAATGGCGACTTTCACTTCGGCGGGCGGCCGGCCTGCCAACTCACCAGCGAACAACCCCTTCCGCCGTCACACAACTTCAAACCTCTAGGCAACGTTGGATTAATGCTTTTTGTCACTTCCCCAGCAGTCAATGGGCACTTTTGGTCACGTGAATTTCAAACCTCTATATGGTTCTTCAGCAAGTTGGAATCCGAAAGCAAGGGTGTATTATTGCACTTTGTGTATCGAGTAAAAGACTTTTCCTCTCCCACACCTAACCAGCCTAGAGGAATTTGCCCTTGGGCATTCCACTAAACGCCGCAATCTGACCTCTTTGACGCCGTCAACCCAGCCGTTAACCAGGCTGTCGCCGCCGCTGCCGCTGTCCTCTGACAGGACCTCCGTGTCGCCCCTATCTAGCCAGACTGATGTCACACTGCTGCTGTTAGCGAATGTCCTGAGTATTAACACAGCATTATATATTAACTTACCTAGCCCTGGCTGCCCTACAAGTTGTTTTTGGCCTTTATGGCTACTGCTGCTGCGTCTATGACGTTAGTAAAGTACGTAGAAACTCCTTTGTGCCCTAGGAGCTCCCTAATCTTGTTATTTTATACTTGAATTACACTTATATTTCTCTAAACATAGACCTTATCTGCTTTATTGGTATCTTTTACTAATAGCTCTAGGCTAAAAATGGCTACGTTTGCCCTTTAGGCAAGAGGGAGGTCTTTAAAGACCTTTCTAATAGCCTTGTTAAGGCTAAGCTCTTTAGCGTAAGCCGTGTAGTAATCCCCTGCCTATAGCAGGCCCTAAGGGTTTCTAATAGTTGTATGCTAGCTTATTATAAGGGTTGTCTAGAGTAAATTTAGGAGCTGTGTTATTATGTACGCGTTTAGGATGTAAATAAGATAGAAGGAAGGAAAAAGAGACTAAGCCTAGCTTCTACCCTTTATATGCCTAGCTACAGCCAGCAAGGTTAGTAGCAAGTAAAGCTATCTCTAGTACTGTCATCAGTACTTACAGTATAACTCAATGCGTAAGGCTTTTAATAACCTTGGTAGAGACAGAGTCATTGCGAGGCTTATAACTATCGCAACCTTAGTGGTAGGTTTAACAATACTATTATCGCAAGTACGTCAGTCACGCCCTTGTGGCTATTGCGACCTTGGTAGTAGGTTCAATAATGCCATCATCGCGATGTGGCTTGCCTGTAAACCCGCCCGACCTTATTCAACAGCGTTGCCGCCGACGTTCCAGCGCCTCAAGGTCGTTTGCGTATGCAGCCGTGGTTAAAGCGAAGTCAGATTCAGCTGTTGCTCTGCGTTATTAGGTATTCTACACCGTTGTAAGATATTGAGGTCTAGCACGGGTCAGAGGTGCGCCGTATCGGGTTTTACGTACCGTGATATTACATGTGTATCGGGTGAACTGCACGAGACCACTTATGGGGGTTTAGAGAGACTGGATTCATCAATATGGTAGATACCTAGATATGTTTATAGTATCTCTTTCAACCTGTATATTGTGTTGAGCACTGAGCAGAGTACTGAGCATGGTGCTTTTACTGTGTTTTCACGACTGTCTATGGTTAACATTGTGTAAATGCGTCACCTCAAGAGAGACCAGACCGTCTTGTATTAGTACCGCGGTTAAGCTTGATCTCCCTGGCAGCTGTAGAACTCGAACTAGTCTACTACGCCGAGCTAATAAACCATAAGAGGTAGACAGATACCATGATAGTAGATATACCAGTAGAAACGCAACCTAGCTCCGGCGAAGCTAGATTGCATTCTGTGGACCCAGGCCGGGCCCACAATCTTGCATCAGCTCTCCCCGTTGTAGCAGGAGGTGCGGCGATGCGGAGGTGTGTCTACATCCGCCAAATCAGATGCAACAACGGTGGACGACTTCTAATAGCCACTCAAGCCAAAGGTCTCGGCCCGCCACATTCCCTCGCTGGTGAATATAGAGTTGCCAAGTAGCACAGCATGACCCTGGACGTCGTGCTCAAGCGTTGAAGACCTTTGGGTCTCGGCCGACATGATGCATCATTATCATAGGAAAACCAGATCCCACCATTTTGTCACACGCTCTCTCTCTCTCCAAAAAAGGACCGACTTCCCTCCGCGATCCACGCCCCTCGTACCCCTACAGCTCCTCAGTCTCGGTTCCATCTCCGCCCTCCACATACCGGCCCAGCCGCCTCTTAAGCCCCTGCACGCTGATTCGGCCTTCACCCCCGGCCTCGCCCCCGTCCCCCGTCCCCCGGGCCGGCGGGAGAAGCACCCCGTCCAGCACATGCACGACCCCGTCCCGCGCCGGCACGTCCCCCACCGAGACCGCCACCCCGTTCACCCTCGCCGTCCGCGACCCGTCCCGCCCGCCAAAGTCGATCGAAACGTCCTCTACCCCGAGCAGCGTCCCGACCCGCCGCTGGCGTCTCTCCCCTCCTTCGTCCGTGTACAGCACCTCCTCAGCGACGTGGTACCGCACCAGCGCCCTCAGATGCGCCCTTCCCGCCCGGGAAAACAGGAATCCCCGCGTCTCCGCGCCCAGCTCATGCCACGCCTCGTCCGACGGCACCAAGAGCGTCAACCCCCGCCCGCGCCCGCGCATCTCCTCGGCTACCCCGGTCTCCCGCAACGCCCGCGCAAACGTCCCCAGTCGCCCGGCCAGCGAGCCGACGAGCGCGGCGCACCGCGGCGGGGGCACCAGAACGCTGTCGATGAAGTGGATGACCCCGTTCCTCCCAGTCTGCGTCGGAAAGAGAGAAAAAAAAAAGCATCAGCACAGCACCTGAATAATAGAAGAACATAAAAAGAAAGGATGAACTCACAGATTCGGAACCGACGACCCGTCCGTGAAAGTTCACCTCGGCTCCGGCCCTTCCCGCGGCGACCCTCACCCTCTGTCGCCGTCCGCCGAGCTCGCCCTCCGCGAGGACGGTCGGCAACGTCCTGCCCGCCTCGCCCAGCTCGTCGGCCGAGTGCCGCCCCTCGAGGACGTGGTACTCGAGCATCGCCCCCAGCAGCGCCCCCTCGCTCCTCTCGAAGCCCTCGAGCTCGCGAAACGCGGCGTCGGTCGGCACCAAGACCGTAAAGACCCCCGCCTCGTCGCCGTCGCCGTCGTCGCCGTCGTCGAGCATGTCCCGAAGCCGGGTGTGCGACTCCAAGAGCCGTGCAAAGTACGTGGCCTGGCCGCTCTGCCGGATAATCTCGAAAACGTTCCTGTTTTCCGACGGGCCGACGCTCTCCCTTTGACCACGCGTCGCCCGGACGTCTTGTGCGCGCTGCAGGGCCCCGGAGCGGCCGTGGTACTCTGGCACCCTCCTCCTCGTCCGCGCGACGGCGTCGACGGCGTTCAACGCCCCTCGGCTCAGATGACCGATCGCGCTGTCAAGCGTGCTCGGAACGCCGTCTCGCATCGGCACCTGCGGCCTCGCCGCATCCGCCGTTACTGCCACTGCAGAAGCGGCCGCAGCAGCAGCCGCCAACGGCAAAAAACAGCTCGGCTTCATGACCTCCGCTTTCTCCGAACTCGGTATCGGATACCCAAGGCGTAGAAGAAGAAGAAGAAGAAGAAGAAGAAGAAGAAGAAGAAGAAGAGAAAGCGCGGGCGTGGCCCAAGGGCTTCGTGGTGATACTGCGCAGTAGTGTCGTGGAGTGGTCAAAGCAAACGTGTATTCGACGTCCCGTGGAAGCAGAGAGAGAGAGCCTTGGATTCGTCTTCTGAATAATGGGACAGGACGTGCTTTGCAAACGGCTCAAAAAGGGCCGAGGACGTCTGGTTTTGATTGCAGAAACTGTAGTCAATCCTTTTTCACTGTTTCTCTCAGATTGAAAGAAAATGTACATACAGATGGGCATTTTCTGGTATGGAGACATAAAGGTTCTTCCGGAAGGGGGGGCTGAGCCATCAGGGTCCGCATTACTGCGGTCCGACTTACACCGCAGTACGCAGCTCTCGCGTTCCGGGTTTGACAATTCGTTCCACATTGGTCTTGGTATTCATAAAGGTCAGACGCCCTGGCCGGGAGGCATTCTGGAGCAGTGTATTTGTTGCCACCGGGACAACAAGGTGGCTGTCAGCTGCCTCAAGGGCATCGTCACCCTCTCCGGCGTCGTCAAGAAACGAGGGATGTCGTCTTTCCTCTTGCCTGACTTCGCCATCGAACCCATCCCGCCGTCAACGACTCTTCGTCCCGCAGACGTCAGAGTTTTCAGTCACATTGTGTGTTGTGTGAAAGGCCGCTCCCCCCCTACTTCAGACTATCGGGCGTTCTGCTCTGCCATCTCGAACGCGTCCACCACCCTCCCGCCCTTGACATCGACGGCGGCCCACCTCTGCTCCCTCCCCTTCCGCACTTTCACCGCACCGCCGGGGAGACTCCCCTCCCAGACGCCGAGCTCGTCCAGCAGAACCTCTATTACCCAGACGTATCTCACAGCGCCCGTGAATCCTCGATCATCCCGGCCGACCCCGGGCCCGGGCGCGAGGGCATAAACCTTCTCGACGTCCTCCTTGTCCCTCAGGACCCTCGTGCACAAGAGATGCAGATCGAGAAGCTGCGAAAACACCAGCCCAAACGTCGGCCTGTTCCGCCTCGACGCCGCCTGGTTGCCGCCGTAGCCCGCAACATTCAGCGGGGGCGGATTGAATATCGACCGCAGGGTCGGATCGAGCGGCTTGCTGCTTCTGCTGCCACCGGCACCTCCGCCGTAGTTCGGGGGCGGCGGTGGGCCATCTCGGTGGTCCGCAGGCCTCGACGCCGTCGTCGGTGCCTCCTTGGAAGAGCTCGTGCTGTTTAGCAACATGATTAGTGGGCTGCTCGGCAGGTTCCTCGCCAGGTACCGTAGATGTGCGGAGAGGACCTGCAACGATTGATGCGCGGACTGCCGGTCGTGGCGCGTGAAGAGGGCTGTCATGAGGCTTTGGAAGTGCGTGATGAGGATGATATCTGGCGGTCCCGGCTCACTCGGTTGCTCTTCTGGCGTTTTATTCTCAGCCAGCTCCTGTGGTACCTGAGGAATCTCCTCTCGCGTCTCGTCTTGAATTTCTTGCTGGGTGTCCTCGTGACGTGAGTCCTGCGAGGCCGGCTTCTCAGGGGAGTCTGCCGCGTACGGTGTTGGGGACCGAATGGAAGAAGGCGGTGACGATAACTCGCTCGATAGCGACAGGGCGTCCTCCTCGTCGCTGTCTGCAATCTCCGTCCTCGTGGGTTTGGCCGGTTTGAGCTCCGGTAGCACTATCCTCTCGGATTGTTCCTCCGGCGCCGAATTCCTAGGCAAACCCGGCAAGGGCTCTGGGCCTTGCACAACCTCTCCCATGTCCCCTTTGCCTCCCTCCATTTCCCCTCTCTGCTCCTGGTCAGGTTGCTGCTGCTGCTGCTGCTGCTCCTCATCAGGGACCGGTGATGTCTGCGAAGTCACGCTCTCGGTGGGAATGTCCAAGTCGCCCAAAACCTCCCACAGGCCCTCGAGATCAAAGACCCTCGACACGGAGACCCTCTCCAGACAGCCCCTCAGCTTGCTCTTCACCTCTGCTTCGGCCGTCCCGCGCGCCCTGAGCTCCGACCTGATCGCATCCCTCAGTGTCGGGAGGACAGTGGCAGGCGGCTGCGTCGTGACAACCATCGCCCTCGCGTCGTTTTCTTTGGATGCGTCACCGCCAGCCTCCTCGCACAGCGTGCTGGCCAACGACTGCAATGAGATCTGACGAAAAGACAGCAAGTCAGCCATCACACGCGCACACATCCCCGCTTCCTTCCCCCTCCCTCCCTCCCCTCGCGGAACTACAGGCAGAAACTCACAAGAAGCCCCATCTGCTCGCTCTCGGCACTGACCCCAACAACAGTCCCCCTCTCAAACCCACCCACAAGGACCTCCTCGTCCACCTCCCGACACCCAACCCTCAGAGGCCCCTTCTCCTTGGTCGCATCCCGTCGCTTGGTCTCTCGACTGCACAGAACCGCCGCGGAAATCGGCTCCAGCGCAAAGTATGAGCTTGCCTGCGACCCGCAGAAGACCTCGCCCGCGGCCGCGTTGGCCATGAGAGTCCGTTTCTTGGCTTTCCCTTCTGTCGGGGCTTACTGATTCAGCGAAGCCCCTGCCGTCTGTAGGAGTAGGAAGAAAAAGCCGACAATATTGTCAGGGCGTATCATCTCTCTCACGCCATCATGAGCCTCGGCCATGTGGTCAAACTGAAGGGATGTGTGCCCATGCGAGTTGGAGAGAGCTAACAAGGGGCAGGAGGTTATCGCCAAGTCACGTGATGAAGGCTTCTATAAACCACCTACACTACCTTCCGTACCTAGTCAGGTACCTACCTAGGTCCGGGCACAGGGGGAGCTGGGGTTAATCCTCCCGCCTGAATCTCGATCAGGTCTCGGCGCTCCGGGCCAACAGGCACAGCACAGCAGGTACACAGACGGGCCCTCTGGAGGAGATGATTAGTCATGCGTTCAATGACATCATCCCTCTTACCTTGCATGAATATCACCCGAGCTTGCTCCTTGCTCAATGCAGCCACCCGGATTTCGCCAAAAGGAAACCTTGCCAAGTCGTCCCTACCTGTTTGTGTTTGGCCTATTTCTGCCTCAACAAAGCTGTCCCTTGTTCCAAAAATACCCTGCACACCTATGCCATCAGGGGCAGCACCACGAGCAAAGGGAACAGAACAATATCAACAAAACACTACTCTGTTCTACTGTGCTGTGCTGTGCTGTGCTGTAATGGTGCTTTTGTGGCTTGATAGTTTCCATTTTTCACTAAAGCTAATTCATAACAATCTGCCGACGGACTGTTGACTGCCTGCCTGCCTGCTCTATGCATTTCCCATGTGTAATGTGGCCTCCCTTGGCTAACGGAGTACTTGTTGTTGTTGCAAAACCGGGAAGAATAGGAGGCTCATTCCCCCCCCCAAAAGAAATAACATTATCCACGAGAAAGGGATTGCCTGCGAGGGCCCAGACGCACACATGTGCAACTGTTCCCGCCTCAACAGCAGTGATTCTTCTCGTCATGGCTAACTTCCCCAATAGCCACCACAAGCCGCTTCAAAAACCTTCATTTATACCCTCCCTCCCGGGTCGATCCAGAATTCGGTATTGACCAAGTGTGCTCACTGCCTTTGTCGCATCAGATTAACCTGACGTGTGCATCGAGACCTGTTTGGTGTAATATGGCCTCACATCGTCAGATGGCTGGCTTCTGGGTGCTTCAAGAATCCCTGCCACAGCCGACTGCCTTACTGTACGGCGATTTAAAGAAAATAATGACTGTCTCCGGGTGATACGTTGCTGGCACCGGCAACCAGATATCTTACACCTCGGCCCAATGAGCTCGTGTCCAGATTCCTAAGTTCTGCGTCTCCACTAGGCGGCAGTTCCGGGCGCCGGGGGTGGTGGTGCCACAACGTCCGAAGTTTGACGTTTTCGGCCGCCACCCTTCAGACTCTTGACTCTGGCTAGGAAGCCACCAGAAGACTTGCTAGATCCCTCCTCGGTGGGTGAAATGACGTCAGCCGTGGCACGGCGCTCGAGGCCGTTAGCAGAGCCCCGTCGAGGAACTGGCGGTGGGGTACCGGGCGACTTGGCGCCGTTTCGTCGGACCGAGATCGTCTCTGGCTCCTTTCCGTACTCCGAAAAGAAGGGGTTCCGCTCACCCGTGTACGAGACGCTGGTGGCAGGGCCGTTGCCGTCAGGCGATCTGCGTGAAGTGTAGGCACCTTCAGGGTTGGTGATGCGGCCAGAGGGACCGTACTCGCGCGGCTCTCGCTTGATGCCACGGATACGCTGGGCAATCGACTTGCTGCGTCCGAGACCCTCAGCAGCAGTCTGTTGGGCTTGCTCGGCCTGGGTGCGCTGGATTGCGGCACGGGCTGCAGGAGTACCTTCGAGGAATGTCGAGGCGCCGAGACCCAACGACTCCTCGCCGTAGACGATGGAGCCGCGGGATCTGGGGTCGAACACAGCCGGGTCGTTCTTCCGCTCAGCGTTTCGCGCGGCGGCGGTGGCGTAATCCGCAGAGGCGTCGCCATCGTTGTTGCCCAAGAAAGTGGCGTGATCGGGACGCTTGTTAAGCGGACCGGAGCCGCCGAGCGACATGTTCAGAGAGTCTTTGGCGAAGGCGTGCATCGGTGCGCGCCGACTGCCCTTGCGGTTGCGGTGCGGGTTTGCCGCATCGAAGGGCCCGTCGTGATGGAATACTGTGCTCGTCAGCATCAAAGAGCGACCGGGCGGGGGTGATTGGAGAAAAAACGTACATCCTGTGCCGTAGATACTAGTGGCGTCCAATTGATCAATGATGTCAAGCCTGCGACTGGGCTTCTTGGGGTCCTTATCCTTTCCTTCCCGGGCGCGGCGCTCTCTCTCACGACGTCGGGCTTCCTTTGCCTTCTTCTCTTCCTCGGTGAGGGGCTTCTCAACGTCGATCAGAACAGACGAGTCCGAGTTCCTACGCGGTCGGCGTTCCCGAGGTCGGCGTGGAGGCGATGCCTGTGATCCAGATGGTCGGGGGGGTCCGCCGTTGCTGCCTTGGAGACGCCGCTGTCTCATGGCCTCTTCCTGGGATCTCGACGGGCGGTGTCCAGGTGGCGGAGGGCCGCGGCGGCCAGGCTGGTCAGGGGGACGGTTCGTCGAAGATGGACCTCCATTGGGGCGCGATTGCTTTTTATCGTCGATAGTTAGGCTGTCCTGTTGGGTAGAATGGTCAGCAAACCGCAAGCCCTCCAAGACGGGTATGCACGGCGGCGATCGACGGGCGATTCAAAAGGCACATTCGCGCCGTCTCAATCGAGACAATATGGAACACGTACAAATAGCTCCTCGGCGGTGGGCGAGGCCTTGGGGTCAAGTGTTGGTGCCATGTTGTCTACTCGGATGAGGTTTGGTTGACTAGACGAGTATGATGGATCGAGGAATGGATTGCGCGAGACAGGTCGAGGGGGAGGGTCGTCAAAAGGCGAAGCGGGCGAGGTGGTGTTGCTATAGGTAGGGCCGGACAGGAGTGGGGAGGCAGCACGGTTGCGAAAGGGGTTGTTGGATGAGAGATTAAGCGTCAAGCCAGAGGCGGCAGACCTGCTAGGTTGATGGCCTGTTCCAAGGAAGTTAAGTCAGCAACTCGATAGGAGAGAGACATAGGCAAAGACGGCCACCCCGTGCATGCGAATGACGGCGAGGGGGGGAAGGGATGTGAAACATGAGGGAAGTATACATGACACAGCAGGTTCGACAACTGGGTGGAGCGGGTGCCGTGCTTGCGTTTGCTTGGGCGGCAGTGCAATCCGTGAAATGGGCGGCTCTCTTCCCGTTGGACAAGGCCAAAGTCAAAGGGGTGATAAACCCAGGAAGATGGTGGCAGGCATGGAAAAGGGGGTGTGGGAAGATGGTGGGAAGTCAAAAAAAGATACGACATGCCGGTGCATATCCATATCAGTGCTCGATGCTTGGCTTACCTGGCTGTGTTGATTGTGCCGTCGACATTTTGGCTGTGGTTTGGGATGAGCGGGATGGTGTGGTACACCCCCCGTCTTGCCGTGACGTGAGGGAAGGGAATATGGATAATGATGATGGGCGGGCGCGTAGTATTGGAAGTCAAGAGATCGGCCGTTTTTCCGCAAGAAGGGCAGCTGGCCGACCCGGTTTGATCAGGGAGTGACGAGCGTTGCTAGCGAACTTGATTTTCTTAGGTTGCTAAATGGCCGTTGCTAGCGTCATACCTCGCTGCAGGGACGCCGAACGCAGCGAGGAACGGTTTTTTGGGGGGGGTATTTTTAGGGGGCGGGCGGGGGCCACTTGACGGTTCCTGGGCCAGGGGCTGTGGGATGAGTGCGGTGTACGAACAAGCAAGTCGCGGTAGATGGACGACGATGGGTTGGGGGGGCCTGGATGAGCGTGGGTCGTGGAGTGAAGGTACCGATGGTGGGTGGAGGCAGAGAAAAAAAAAGGGGTGAGTTGAGCCGACCGGAGGTAATATCGAGGAATCTCGACAATAGTCGGCAATGCGCGTCTGTTTGGGCTGCTGCACTTCGTCCTGCTTTTGGCCAATGTCAGTTCAAAATAACCCGCTGGCATTTGGTTTGGGTTGAGTCAACGGAGTGGGGGCTAATGGGAATATCGGGCTTGGGGCCAATTCAGGGGGAAATTTGGTGCGCTGGGAAGTGAATGATTTGGCTTGGAATTCTGGGTGGTAGAGTGGTGGATCAGGGTCCACGGAGCAGCGGGCGAGGTTGAAGAAGGGGTTTGGCTGCTTGGTTTTGGACAGGACTGGGGGGATCGGGGATTTGCGAAAGGATGGCGGTGGACAATGTCGTTGAATGGACGAACGGGGGGGCTACCAGCAAGGCCAAGCAGCAGCAGCAGCAGCAGCAGCAGCAGCGGTATGAAGAGTGGGCCGAAAAGGGAACCTGCAGGTTCACTCACCCTTGACTGAGATATGTCGTTTGCTTTTTCTTGTTTTTTTTACTTTCTTTTCTTTTTGGCAAACTACCGCGTCTTTACGCCCGGGATTGCGGGAAAATGTCCTCCCTTTTTTTTCCTCTCGGGAGGGGCGATTGGGCTGATTGATATGGGGTTGCTCCGGACTCCAAGGCTATGAAATAGAGACACTCCGAGAAGGATCCAAAGTGCCGCCGCAATAGTGGTGTTTGGCAGCTTGTGCACTCGGTAGGTAGGTAAGTGTGTTGCGCGTGTAACAAGGGCTCTGTGCGACTGCAACACGGACCGGGTCGACCCAACTTCTTGGTCGCTTTGATCAGGTCAAGTCGGACGGAGGACCCAACGGGGTTGCGTCGTGGATAGGCAGGCGGCCGTGTTGCCAACTTTTTTGGTGTCTCGGTACCAGCGAGGAGTGGCTGGGATGGGCTGGCGTGTCGGAGATGTTTCGTTCGAACTGGTTCTTTTCTCCCTTGTCGACTCCGAGCGTGTCAATGGCCTGTGCCGTGTTCCCTTTCTTGGCCGAAGTGACGGTGTTTCTCCTGAGCGGTCGGTGCCTGTCGGTAAAGAACGTGCTTGATGTGTTAATCGGATCAATGGCCCTGTCGCTGTTGCTA